CAAGTTTATTTTTGTTGCTTTTCACAAATGGAATTAATATTTTACAAACTAAGCTTTATTAAAAATTGATTAATTTATTGACCCGCCTCCTACCCGAAGATTTCTTCGGAATGCTAGCCACGTTGCTCGGGCTGTGTCCTCACTAATGAGTTTATCGTAATCGAGATGGTTTTACTGCCGTGTTAAGCCAAGATATTTATGGCTTTATTTAGGAAATGCTCACTGTTTACATTTCTTTTTGCGCCTCTTTGTTGACAAGTTTTTGCTGTTTGTTTTCTATGTTGTTTTTTTTTAATTTTTTATTTGGCATTACTTTGAATGACTTCTGGATGTACCGTGTCATCCAATAAGCTGCGACCGCCCACCACCGCCCTGCTTAAAAATTATGCCTCCCTGTGCTTTGTCTGTGGCCACCCGAAAGTGCACTTAATTTTTAATATTAGTTGGCCATATGGAACGTTATGCGACGCCGACCCTCGAGCCCGCAAACCGCCGTTTTAATTGTCAGGCAAAGGGCCGGACCCAATTACACATAGGTGGAGGGACTCTACTTGCCCCAAAAACATATTTCGAAACAACCATAAAAAAGTTTTCCAGCCAGTCCACAGCTGATTTCCTCAGAGACAAATTAGCAGCAAAGTTGACGGCAAGTCGAGACCGAGCAAATGGTTGACTATTTGTTGTCGCTCTTATTGTTGTTTTTGTTGCGAAAAATTAATAAAATTGTAAAATTGCTAGAGGAAGTGTCCATGCATATGTAAGTGCTGGATCGGCAGTCATTGGAGGGCAGTTTTTCATAATTTTTCGTAATTATTACGCATGCGTCTTAATTTTCAAAAATCAGATCTAAAAGTACTTTGAAACATTTGTAACTTTAAATAAAATCTCTCAGGAATGGGAAATTAAACGCAAGAAAGCGACTAGTGTCCAGAAAGCGACTCCAGTATCGATAGCATGGGTCTTAAAAGCCCACAAAAATGACTTAGAAGTGTTGAACTTCTAGCATTTGATTTTCAAAATTTCTGTTGGAGATAAAATGATATTCATAACACTATAGCTATTCCTTACTTTTACTCTTCGAATATATATATAAAAATATAAAAAATTCAGTAAACTAAATTGAAATTAAAATATAAAATATAGTTACTTTTGAAAGAAAAAATTTGTTATTTTGTTAGAAAAATTACGAAAAATTATTATCTTCTGCGATTCTAACCAAATCTCCCATGGAACAAATTGGCAAATCCATACTATTACCGAAGTGCAGCTCAAAGTCTAGATAATTGGCTTGAAAAAAGATGCGGACACAAACAAGAGGTTGCTTGGAAACATACCATAATTTCGATGGGCTAGGATTTGAAGGGCGGAGATAAGATCTCAGCACATCAGAGGGGGCACTTAATGGATGGTTAGCTGTAAAGCTAAATGAAGCATGTGCTTCGTGTTGCAAACCCATATGTGTACATACGTACATACACTATGTGTAGTATATGCTCGTACATACCTAATGGCACATATGTACATACTTGTATGTATAGGTATGTAGTCATATTCTTCATTTTTTCTTTGTTATTTAGATCAACACGTATTCGTTTTGCTTTCATGTTGCTCGTTTGCCACTAGCATGCACGCATACACATGCACACACACACAGAGAGAGAGAGAGAGAGAGAGAGAGAGAGAGAGAGAGGTAAATGCTTAATGTAACTGGAGGTAATGTTTTGTTATTTCAGTTAATGAAATTACCAGCACCATATTGTTTTACCTTTGGTTCGGTTCGGTTCGGTTCACCTCTTACCCTGAACCTGAGCTCCTTCGCTTCCCTCCATGTTGCTGTTGTTGTTGCTGCCATTGCTGTTGTGGCTCCACACATGCGTGTCTAATTTCACTTGGCAAGCAATTTGGATACATGAGCGAGCGTCGAAACTTAAAAATCAGTTGCCCAGACACACTAACACACACACACACACATACACAGGCACACCCACACACAAGCACATGCTTTCCGTTTTTATCTATGTGTTTGTGTGTGCGTGTGTGTGTGTGTGTATGTGTGAGGGGACATTGGAATGTGTGGAGGTCTCTGGCAGTCACGTGCAGCGCATTTCTTTGGCCTTTGTGAGCTCAAAGGCAAAAGGGAAAAATATTAAAAACAAAACAAATAGCAGTGCACACACGCCCACTAACACATACTCACACATACATGTAGAGCGGGAGCGGGAGCGGAAGTGGGAGCGAGTGAGCAACAACAAAGCAAAGCTCGTGCGGGAGTCAGAGGTCTGGGCGACTCGTGGGCGCCAAGGTTTGGTCTGAGCTTAGGGGCGTGGCTGCCGCTGCCATTGCCGTTGCAGCAAGGAAGACGATTTAATGCATACAAAATGATTTACACGCCGTTGGCTAAAAATAATACAAGCGAGCGAGCGTTCGTTTAAAAATCGCAAGACCGCGAGCCCCTATCCATTATACACACATACTCGTACTCGTACCACATACTTGTACAGACAAACACACGCCCGCATGCACTTATACTGAACTGAAACCAACAAACACACATACACATACAGGTTGTCAACATTTTGCGGCACCGCGCCTGTCAACGACGCGACTGCGGCTCAGGATACTGTCGAGCGAATCCAGCCATGACTGCCTTGCTAGCGAGATGTGCGATTTTCAACTCCGAACTGATTCATTTCATGTCTGCGGAACTTCCCGATTTCCATAGGTCCCATGTCCTTCATAGCTCTTCTTCTTCTACTATACATATACTATATGAAATACGATGATGGGGTACAATGTAGAAAGTGCAGAAAAGGGAACAATGATGAGAAATCTCCTTGGTGACATTCTTGTTGTATATTTTGTATTTAGACAATAAAGCTACTTGAAATGCTTTATTCGAGTCTAGAATTTGGTTGGGTTTAGCTGATAATAAAAATGTTGTGGCATTAGCATTTTGTATATACCCGTTTATACTTGTACATTGAAATGTGCTTTATAAGCACTGCCTTTTGCAAAAACTTGGCGCAGTTTAGAGTCAAGCTGTTTTGTATGTTTTTAGTACTTAGTTTTTAACATTCTTAGAATATGCTAATGAAACAGCGGCCAGCAGTTTACGTTATTTCCATTCTAAACCATTATGGTCTATAGGGGGTTTACAATGGGGGTGCCGTCTCCTATTTGTAATCTCTCATTAGTTTTAGAGTCGCGTATGTTATATTCTGGAATGTTCCTCCTCAGCTATTTAACCTTGTGATGCAAAACTCATTTTGTGGATTTTCTTAGAACTACAAGTAATTCATTTAGATGGTCTGGTCTGTCTGCTCTGCTACCACTATCTAGATCAGGCATGTTTGTGTGTGAAGACTCAGTTTTGTGCTTGGCTTGCATTTACTTTGCTTTGCCTATGATGTCCTGGGAGCAATATAGCGCATATAATCAGCAACGCAACAGCGCTGAAATGTATGCTACGCTTTTGGCTTGCCATACACCACAGCCCCTACTCTCTCTCTCACTCTCTTTCTCTAATATTGTAGGCCGGCCTGCTGGCTTGCCAGCTTGCATTTCAAAGTGCAGCGCACACACACATACACAAACAATCACATAAACATACACATACATATATATACAGAGGGCCATCAAGCTGAAATCTCTGATGATACGAAATCAGCATAAACAACAACAGCGACAATAGCAACAACAACAACAACAGAAATGAGGTTGTGACTGCGCTGAGGCTGTTGCTATTCGCAGGCCTTCGCCTCTGCCTCTGCCTCTGCCAGTGCCGCTGCCTCGAGCTGGGCCTCAACTGTGGCTGCATTTACTGAACTCTCAGCTAAAATCTGCAAAAAGGTTAACAGCCAGCGCAATTTTCATATTAACCAGCTCTCCATCTCAGCGCTTGGAGTTCATTTGTCTGCTGTTTGTTGTTTTTGTTAAAGTGCATATGCGTGCTCGTTGAGAGTCTTTGAAAATTGTCCCTGGGCTGAAGCTTGTGACACTTGGAGTCTGATTATGACTCTATTCCATTTTAGTGCTCCAACCTGGCCATTTCTTCACTGCCATCGCTTTTGACTGTGATTGCGACAGTTAAACACAACATAAGAACAAATGTGCTGGAATATAAGGTACGTCAAGAATGAGAGAAAACACAATAAAGAACATCCCAGAACAGCTCTGGTTGCTTTAAGTGTTCAAACACCTACAAGATTTTTATTATCACATACTCTCAAGCATCAGAAAATACAGAATGCATTGCATTCATTTAGTGCAAATTATTCATTTATTTACATACATTAGTTGCTATGCATAGACAGTGCTAGTGCTAGCTACCTTGGCCATCGACTCGGCTTTTAAACTAAATTGTTGTAATATGTTCGGTGTTTTGCCTGCAGGGCTTACTAATACATGCGTAGGCCGCATGGTTTGGACTCTCCAAAATGTCAATTCTGGAATTACTTCAAATATATCTGACACATTCGCTCCGAGCTAAAATACAATTCCCAGGTGATTTAAAAATCGCTTTCGCTCGAACTCGGCTGTGAACATTATTCGCTTAAAATTTAATTGACAATTCAATGAAATACATTATTTTTATGTAAAGAGAAAGCTACTCTGGAGAATTTAATTCATATAATTATCAGTCAAAAAATACCAAACGCATTTCCAAATGCGTCGAACGCAGTAGACATTTTTTGGCTTAGGTTTTATTTCGTTTTATAAAGGCTAACGAATTGTGGAAGCACAACACACACTCAAGAGATCAGAGAGCTCCTTTTCTTAAGAAAAATATCAATATACTTATTTAAAAAGGCGCTCTTAACTTAACTCTTAACTATCTTTTATTGCGGATACCATTATTCTGCTCTGGCGCTGTTCCCTGCTATGTTTCTGAAATAGTTTTGGCTACCAGATGTTTAAGACGCAAACAGTCACAGCGGATTACAGTTTTTATTCCATAAAAAAAAACGTATTTCACATTAAACTAATCAAATACAGTCACAGTTTACAGGTGTTGTCTCTAGGTGTTGTACATTGATGGCTTTAACTTAAACATTAACGTAACTTAACATTTCAATTTTGGCAATTTTCCAGACAGGAGAAGTGGTTAAATGATTCTCCCCTTCCGGTCGAAGATTAACAGAACTCAATAAGGAATTGTAATTAACGCAACCAAACCAAAAGCTAAACTGTTCTGTCTTCTAGAAACTAGAAATGTTCAAGTTTTTCTAAACACTTAAAACTTAAATCGAATTTTGTAAATTGAACATATAGTATGTATAGTTGTATGCTGTGTGCTGCACGCACATATGTCGTACTTGATTTCCTACATCTCCGCAAAGGGCAAACGCGAGCGTGGTTTTTTGGGTGCACTCCCGTTGTTGTTGCCGCCAGTATTATCGAGATTCATTGCCCTCCAGGATTTTCTTCTGCTGCTGTGGTTCTGATCTGTGGACGGAGTCTGTTGGGCTTTGGTCTTGGCACGAAAATGGCGCATCTCCTCGTTGTGTGCAGGCGCCAGCATTGGTATATAGTTGGAAGGAGTGCAGAGCTCGGAATGCTGCTCGAAGAACTCCTTGTAGCCATTGTGGAGTAAATAGATTTCGGGGTAATCCAAATGTGGATAGCTGTGTGCGTGCTGGGTGCGATCGCTGGTGCGCAAGAAACGCATCAGTTTTGGACCACGCTCCGAGGAGAACTCACAGTGGAATATAAAAATATTGCGTAGCTCCCGCTTGGGACTGCGAGTCTTGTTCAAAACTGGAAACGCTTTCCTAATGAGCTCCTGTGTGTAGAGATTCTGAGCGCCCTCAATGTGGCCGCCTTCGTACTCGTACGGATAGCGGCAGTCGATGATGCGATAGCTGCCTATTTGCTTTTTGAATTGGCCGCGCAACAGGTGCGCCAAAGTTTCAGAGGAAATGGTCTTCAAATCCCGATGCCGCACATCCTTCTGAAGCACGGGCAAGGCACAAGGCTTGCTCAAGTCTCCAATCAAAGCGGGCCCGTTGGCATGAGTGTCACGGGCAAGAGCGTTCATTATGTCGGCATTGTCCATGGGCAGGGGCCTCTTCAGGGTATTGGACAACTTATCCGGCCCCTGCTGCTCTGCTTTTTTGGCAAAGTTGAGGCAGCGACGGGAACGCGAAAGTTCGTTCCGCAATAATTTTGGAGAGTTATCATCGGGCTCATCCACATCATTTGGTAAATTGTTCTCGGGCTGTTCGTTCCTCATCTTCATGGCATTTCGGTTATCATGATTGGACGAAGATGGTTTCTGCTTGAGCGATTGGCGCCCCTTGGCACCACGCATGTCCTGCAGGGGTAGTTTGCCTCCCTCTAGATGGGCAACTTGCAAATTCTGTGATAGCACCGCCATCGGAGACAAAACTGAGCTTCCGCCATCGAGGGCTCCTTCTTTCTTGAACCGTGTTGGATCCACATTCTCTTGATTCTCCTCCAGCTGCCCATCATCTTCCACATCTTCATCGAACTGCAGGCGCTTCTGCACAAAGTTTGCGGCCATTTTCAATCCTTAGCTCGTCGTCTATTGAGAAAATTTGTGGACAATTTGCCTTTCTCGTTGTTTGAATTATATTTTTCAATGTTTTTTCGATGTCAATGTGACTGGTTGAAGTGAAAGTTGTTTAACAGCTGCCTATGATGCGTTCAATACAACTCTCAAAAGGTGCCTCCTTATCGATCCAAATCACATCCGCTTTCTCATTTATGGCTGTTCGCTAGAACTTTTAAATGTTAGACATTAGTTGAGCTTTTTTGTGAGAAGAGGAACCAAAGACATGCATACTATACTCGTTAGGTGCACTGCAATCAAGTCCAATAACACAGTTGTACAAGCTATACTAAGTATAACCTGACGTATGCAGTAAACGTTGTTGCTGTACTCAGAAAAATACGAAATTAAATGTTTTATTAAAAATCACTTATTTGAAATACAAGTAGAAAGGAATATTATTAATAATTAAAGCACTTGTTTCAAGATCCACAAGCAAGCTGCGGAACAATGTCTCTAAACAAATATAATTCAAGTGACACTATAATCAAAGCGTACTTGTCAAATTTATCAAATGTGTGGCAAAGGTTTTTACTTCATCTGTAATCCAAGACTGATGTTCTGCATGTTTTAAGAGTACTTGTAGACGATACTCGTATTAAAGAAATCATCTTCACATAAGTAGTAGAATATTCATTTGTTAGGATTATTTATAAATCGCATGCTTCAGCAAAACCAAAACAACATTAATGGATCGAATCTATGGACTGAAGCAGTAATTGGAATATTGTTTAGTTCGGGAGACTGGTTAATCATCTTAAGCTTAATTAAGCTCTTCTTTTAAGTTTGGTTTTAGACCAGTTTTGCCGGCATTTCCTGATAATACAAGTAATAAAAACTTAAAATTCTTGCTTCCGTTGGAGGCTTAGTGTGTGTTGATTAACTTTCTTTCTTTCCATAATTACTTTCCATAATTGGAATAATTGCTGCTACTTTTTATAATTCTTATCAACAAGTAGAATCGTAACTGTTGTTATACTATAAGTATTCTTATTAGACATATTGCTGACAGGCCCATCAAATTGTCGCACACAAGATTGTTTTCTTCTTTTTATGTAAAGCTCTCACATTCCCATTTCCATTCCTATTCGCACTCGCATTGCCATTGTCCTTTCCATTCCCATTTCCATACAAAATGATCAAATTAAGCCATGCCTTGTTGGCACTTCCGCTATTCACATGCATACACAAAGACACTCTCACAGACACATACACACACACACACACACACACACACACATACAGAAAGACACACAAACTGACTTCATTAATAACACAAAACCGTGCTGAGGGGCTCGGGACCATAACGGAAATGCAAAATTGACAAAGCCAAAATGCTTTAAAGTCTATTTGGAATTGCAACAACAGCAGCAACAACAACAACAACAACAACTACAACAACAACAGGAACAACGACCATGACGATGCTGCTAAAGCAGAAGAAGAAGCAACAGCAAGAGCAGCAGAAGCAGAAGATGAAGCTGTGCATATGAGCAAGCTTAAAAGGCAGTCATTTGACCATTGTTGTTGTTGTTGTGTTGTGTTGTTATCGCTGCTGTTGTTGTTGTTGTTGTTCCAACAGAAAGAGTAAAAAGCAATGCCGCAAGTGCAGCAAGAAAGAGATAGCGATGGCGCACGCCATTAAATCTCTTTAGAACTCAATTCTTATTCCCAACGCAATTTATACAACAAAACTTCACACAAACAAACAGATCCACACACTCACACACACACACGTATACATACATACATAAATATATGGATGTATAAGCCAACAATGCAGCAAATTCAGAGGCAGGCCTGGCCAAAAAAAAAGAAGAAGAAAAAAACGTAAAAAATAGCTAAAAGACAGCTAGAAAAGAACGAAAAGTGAACGGCGAATTGTGCACAACAAAGCAACGGCTTTTGCCTTGGCATGTGTATAAATAGATGTGCAATGTGTGTGTGTGTGTGTGTGTGTGTGAGAGAGTGTGAGTGTGCGGTGGCAAAAAAGAGCTGGCGTAACATATGGAGCGGAATAGAAAATAAGCGCACGTCAACTGCATGACACAAACACATAGAAAACACACGACGACGCGACAAAGTTGAAAAAAAAATCAGCAGCAGCAGCAGCAGCAGCAGGGAAGGATGGAGAACAGCAGCACGAAGAGGAAGAAATGTGCCCGACGTGTCCTGGCGATAGTGATGAGGAGCGGGCGGCTGGCAACGGCTAGCGACGAGTGTATAAAAATGGCGTAAAGCCGTGGAACATATTTATATATCTGGCACACACACTTACACCTAAATATATGTGTACATAGGTATGTTTGTACACATGACAAACGCCAGCTGGACGATTCGAGAGACTGCACGACAATGACAATAATGGCAACAGCAACAACAACAGCAACAACAACAGCAACAAAAACAAAACCAAAGATAAAAGAAACAAAACTACAGCAATGGCCGCCTGTGAAACAACAACGCAAACAGAAATATAGTGACGAAGATAACATACCCTTGGACGTGTCTTTTGGGCTTAGAACCGTAAAAAGATAATATTTACGAGATAACATTGAGGCCTCATCATCTGGAAGATCTCAGCTTCTTCCAATCAGAATCTGTCGGCTGTTTAAAGTGTTCTTCAGAGATTGTTTCAAAAACCTTCTCTAAACTATAACAAAACATTACAAACGTTTCAAAGATCTCCTAAGACTAATCTTAACGGTTAAAGGGAAAAAACGGATCTCCGTAGTAAAACATATTTTCACCAGATCTCTAGATTGCCGTATCTGTTAGATCGTCTAGGATCCTCTTCCGAGAGGAGTAACAAAAGGGTTTGATGTCACCCTCCTCTGCCTTATCTCTTAAGCTTCTACAGAAACCATTAGATGGGATACCAAGGCTGCTAACCAGACAGTACTTATTCTTGTACCTCGTAGAAGCGCTGTGGTTCTTTTGATGTTCAGAGTAGGCGAGCGTCTACAGGAGACTAACAGCATAACGATTGGTTTCTTGCCAGGAAGCTTGTTTGCGGCAATGTTCTCCCTGGCCAGCTCGTCTGCGATGCAGTTTCTTTAACGTTCCGGTGCTGTGATTTAACGATAGTAACAAAAAATTTATGTTCCATATACTTGTAAGTCGTAGATGTTATCTTTGTGATGGTTGCTTCAGTGGCGAAACAAAGACTAAGAACATTTCTTCCATATAGATTCAGTCCATTGCTCAATTGCTCTCTAGGTCTTTCAGTCCACTATTGAATCCATCAAAATTTGAGGACGATTTCCCAATTGATTGGAGTTGTCTCTGATTGAAATTGGGGCCCAACAGTTTAAATTTTGTGACATATGGAGCACTTTTTCAGCGGTTCTCCAATAAAATATTTGATAGAAACAAAGGCTAATAAAAGCGGGCAGCTCTCTCCTGAGACTTGCCCCCCCCCCCCCCCCACTCCCTCAGAATCTCATAAAACTTGCCAGGGTAAGCAGGGCGCTTGAACTAAAGTATTTTTCGCGTACTGTGCAGCGAACGTGAGAGAAAAACCCCGAGTAGGAAAACATGTTTAAGCGGAAACAACAAAGCGCTGACTGTCCTGGCTGTGCCCCGCCCCCCAGTGCCCCGCCCTCCAGTGCTCCAGTGCTGTAGTGCGCCCACTATGCTACTGCCTTGTTGTTTGTTGTTCCTTTTTTCAGCTTGTTTGGTACTTTATTTTGCTTGCCAGTTATTAACATTGTGCTGCAGCTTCCCCACATCCACAACCGCCAACAACAACAAAGTGCTCGTGCTCGTGCTGGTGCCCGTTCTCATCCAGTGTGACCAGGTGCCTCTTTGATGGGGCTCTGGTTTTCGGGGCGGTCGCCGCTTGTCTATCAAAAGCTATCAGCGCAATGCCCCTTCTCTTTTTTGCTCTTGCTGCCTTCTAGGTTGTTGTTTCTGTAACATGTCTTGTTGTTTGCTTTAGTGGCTGCTGTCGCTCCAGTCTTCTTCTGCTCCAGTCTTCTTGTCTCTGTTATTTTATTTTTATTCTTGTGCTGGTCTTTGTTTTGTTTACCTCAGCTTCCGAAGCTAGCTGCCCGAATAGGGAGAAGTCGAGCGACGTGATGCGCAAGAATCGCAACTATTTTTCTTTAACAACGAAATTAGTGCAATGTATCGGAATGGAGACCAACAACAATGCATAAATGGCATAATCCCATACCTAGGAGTAACTGTGTGCTTGAACGAACTTGTCTTGTCGCATGTTAACTTATTTAATCATGTTGGGAGGAACAATTTGAAAATGTGATACATATCTACATATGTACAAGAAACGCAGTTCTAAACAACATTGTCGTCACTTTTTTTGACACTTCTCCAAACAATTCTTGGTTGCTTCCATTCAGCATTTTGATGCTTGGTGTCAGGATCGTATTCAAAACACCACGTTCCATCATCCGTCACAATCATTCGCAAGAAGTTTTTATTTTTGTTGTTGTCGGATTTTCATTTTTGGGACATTTAGTCCAGCAATGAATTTCTCAGTGTGTGCTGCTTCTTCTACCGCTAAAATTCTTGTCAAAATGACTTTTGGAAATACTTCAAGAGCTACTCAAAGGATACTCACTCACACTCAGCACCACCAAGGAAAGGGAAAGAGAAAAAAATTGCGCTTAAATACAAAAATGTATTTTAAATAACAAAGGCATCTGGTGTTCAATATGGTCGAAAGCGTACCATACAAGTTGAACGGTATTTGCCGGTGTTTGAGTTTGATCCTAAAAAAGTTCACTTTAAAATGTACTTATCAACAAAAATGAGAAGTTCTTTATGGACATAGGTACGACAAAGGGTATCGTAAGGTTTAGAAGACATTAAATATTATATAATAAATGTTCTCTTCTATAAGCTATTGGAGCCAATAAAAATTAAAAAATTAAATGAAAAAAAGATACGAGCAACGTTAAAGCGTGCAAAGAACTTTACATTGGATAATATAGAAAATTAAATAAGAAATCAATGATAAGTAAATAAAAGTTATTCGCTTAGTTCCAAATTGATTCTAATTTTATTTTA